AACAAAGGCCCTTTCCCTTTCCCCTGGCAGTTTTCTTTTTTTTTTTTTTTTCTTTTTTTTTTTTTTTTTTGGCCTGTCTTTTCGGTACAGTCTTGCTCTGTGCTTTTTCCTTTCCTTAAAAAAAAAAAATAATATGCTACTCCTCAGTGTTTCTGCCCTCCTGTTTAATCATCCTGTGGAAAAAAAAAAAAAGAAAAAAACATGGCTTGGAAAACAAGGTCATCTAGCTCAACTTTGCTTCCTCGTCCTTAGGTCCCTTTGGAGTGCCTATGGAAAGCTTCTGGCTTTATAATTACTAATAATAATTGGGAAAAAGGAATGACAAATCGACTTAATTGCGATGATTTTTTTAATATTTTTTTTTTTAGTTCCTTTTAATAAAACGTTTTGCAAATGTTCTTTCTTTCCATCCCCACTGGAGAGACCTGTCCTAGATTTGCTGCCCAGAGGTACTGCATGCGAGATAACTTCAGGCTCCTCCACGAACCTAAGGGCAAGGGGGGAACAGTCAGACTACAGGTTTTCCCTACAGGATGAACACTGGTTCTTCCCCTTGGGAGTGCCCCTCAGCTGGACTTGGAAAAGTTTTCAGAATTGAGTATGTGGGTGCGTTTGTGCCGGCTGTTTTGGGGAGCCCTGGGGTGGCCCAGCAGGTCGAGCACACGGAGTCGGTGATGAAGGGTGTCTGCAGGTCTGTGTTTTGAGATGAGGACCGCAGAGGAATCTGTAGGTCAGGAGGGAGACAAGCTGTAAAGTGAGGATGAGCCCGGCAGATTGTACCATGATAGATGGGTCTGGAAGAGCCGTTTTGGGGAGCCTGGGACCAGACCTAGTCTGATGACAGGTGAAAGAGGTCAAGTAGATGGGCATCAGCAGATCTCTATGGAGAAAACACCAGGACCGAAATAACGAGGTGTGCTGTAATGAAGGATAAATGAGAACGACACACGGCAAGGCCCAGATGTGAGTTGTTGGGGGTAGCCTGTTGTCAAGAGATGTATAGGGAGCAAATGAATGCAGCAGACAAACTGTTCTTTACATCCCTTGTGTCTCTGCCCTTCCTGACAGCAGGATCCTTGAAGATGACGCCCGTTTGGCTGCCTACACTGCAGTGCCCTGATACATCTCAGCATTTCGCTGAGATTACACGGTTGGCACGGCCCCACGTTACTACAGTCACCACCCAGCAACAACAGACGTACAGATACGCTGCGTCTGCCCTTTGGATTTTCTTTGTGGGTTGGCTGGTCTGTGTGTGTGAAGGGTTTGGTGCTTCAGAGGAGATACCCGTGTTACCAGGCAAACTGACTACAGTGAGTAGTCAGATTACCAGAGCACCTCCAATTCCTTCCTGGCCTCTTTGCGATCAGATCTCTCTTAAGCTCAGTGGTGATCTGATTTAAATCCTTCCTAGGGCTTTAGAAGCCCCAACACTCTCACCTCTTCCTCACAGGCCTGACTTCTTTTTCTTTATTATCTAATGACCAAGCTACAAGCCACCCTTTTGAGTCAGGGTGGTCACATCAGCGCTGCTAGCTAGCGGTTCTGCTTGTCAGTAGGCTTTTTTAATTGGAGGCAAGAACTAAAGATTTCTCTCCTCTGCAGTTTATTGTGTTAGATGTTGCCTTGTTGGAGGAGTGGGTAAGAAAATTGCTGTTGCCGTGCTGTTCAGTGTGATTGTGGAACTGGCCCTCCTTCACAGCACCTACCAACCACATCTCCTGCAGAAATGCACGTCCTGCCGCTGACTTGAGTGCCTTGGACTAACTGAGGTGGTTGAAGTTCTTGAAATAGCAGAGATGACCGGGTTTCTATTTTGAAAACAAACTTAGAATTTTCAGTGGTTTTGGCAGTGTCCAGACGGAGCACAGTGCAGAGTTGTCCACGCTAGCATCTCTGTGGTGTGACATGCTTTGCAGGTACTCACTTGTTCTAGAAGGAGCTGAGTTAGCGTAGCACTTTGTCCAGGCTAAATACACCGAGCTCATCATCGTAACTTTTTTTCCCTGGCGTAGTGTCTCACTGATGTGACAATATCATTTTGCTTCCAAAGAAGATTTACTCCACATCAGTTCAGCCTTTTCTGTTGCACAACAGACACAGTTGCTGGTTTTGGGTTGCCAAAGAGCTATGGGAGCGTGGAGCCCTCAGAAATTAGTCCCACGATGTTTCAGATGGAGTATTTACAATTAGAGGGCATGATGGAATTAAAAAGTTGAGGAGGTTCAGAAAATCCAGCTTCTTGTTTAGATGATCAAAATGGCGTCTGCAGAACAGCAAGCCACATGAATTGAATCATGTAATACATCTCTTACCAGTTAAAAAATATGTGTCCCCCCCCAAAAAAAACCCCTTCAAAACTGCCTGCAGTTTGTTTCTGCCCAAACTCAATAGTTCCATGAAAACTTACCTCCAACCTTTGGAAGGGTTTCCATGGCTTTTCATGGGAGGAGCTCAGGTCACTTTGAAATGCTTTCTGCTTCTGAGATAAACATTTTGCCTAGCTCTAGTAACAAAAATTTTCCGGTAGCAGAAGACCTTTTTGTCTGTTTGAACTTTGAGCTGCTGAGCTTCATGTTTTTCTATGTTGTAATGACATTAGAATATAAGGAGGATTAGTATGTTGTGTCAAAGGTCTCTGTGGGTCCATTTGCCCAGATGGTAGCCTGGTTTTTAATTATTAGATACTTATATGGATAAGGAAATGTCAATAACTATATGAAGTAGGGAAAATAACCCTAAACGTTATGAATTTAAGAGTAGACGATAACAGCCAAAGAACAGGGGATTAAAAATACTTACCCCAAGGAGCTACAGTTTCTTTTTAATTCTTTGCTTCATTCTGGAGCACTTGGTGTCGGCAAGTGTAGAAATTAGGATGTGGGACTACTGGGACTAGGGCTGATTTTATGCCAGGCAGTTTGGAACTGTAACCTGGAAACAGTTCAACCTGTGATACTTGTGTTCATGCATTAGCCTCCCGGCAGCTCCTTCATACAAAATTAACCTGCATTGGGACCATCAAGGTGACCTGATTTTATTTTTTTTTACTCGGCTATTATGGTTTATTTTTATGTCTGTTCCAGTCTCCATTTTTTACTCACTGTGCTTATTGCTGTGGTCTTGGGCTCCCAGCACAGCTATTGCCAGTGATTGCAAGTCATCTTCTCACCTATTTGTTCTTTATATTGTGGGTTTGCTATATAGATTAAATAGATTTCAAAAGGCTTGTAGCACCGTCTCTCTCAGAGGGTAATATCCTGATGCTTTTTGGTCCGTTTCATTTTATGATACTCATGGGTTGTTTCTTGCTTTCTATCTCTCTCTCTCTCCAGGTAATTGTGGAAAAAGCACCAAAAGCCAGAGTACCCGACCTAGACAAAAGGAAGTATCTCGTGCCTTCTGACCTCACAGGTAACAAAGTCTGATTCCTTTCTTCCCGATTTTCACTGAGAAGATCTCAGAAGTGCTTTTTACTCTATGATCAGCACCAACAAAATACCGAGGCAGGCTCACCTGCAGTTGACCTGACTGTCCTTGTTATTATTTCTGTACCTTACAGCCTGGATTACCAAATACAGAATTCTCGGAGATCTTCTGAGACGTCTCACTGAGTTAACCAACGTGCGTGTGTCACTGCTGACAGCTAGCCATGATGAAAATGACTGAATTGTGTATCATAGGCAGTAGCATCATCATCAGTCAATGATGACCTAGCTGCAGAGTTGCCAGAGGCTTTATCCTTGTTGCAGGAAGAGACGAGTTCTTGAAATAGTGCCATTGTTTTCCACCTCTGTGGTTGGAGTCATGGCTGCAAAGTTCCTTTTCTGAGTGGTCATGGCCATGTTGCGTGTGATTACATTTGTTTTCATTTGAGATCATGAATGAGTTAAAGAAACAGCATTTCTTTCCCTCGCTGTGTATAATGGATTGTGGAATACCTGCTTGTGCAACATAGCTCAAGCAGATAGTAAGGAATTTATTTTCAGGGCTTTGTTTTCAGGAATGGTATGACCATTTACACTGAGGCTAAACTCTCTAAGGTTACTTTAATCACTCGGCTATTATGGTTTATTTTTATGTCTGTTCCAGTCTCCATTTTTTACTCACTGTGCTTATTGCTGTGGTCTTGGGCTCCCAGCACAGCTATTGCCAGTGATTGCAAGTCATCTTCTCACCTATTTGTTCTTTATATTGTGGGTTTGCTATATAGATTAAATAGATTTCAAAAGGCTTGTAGCACCGTCTCTCTCAGAGGGTAATATCCTGATGCTTTTTGGTCCGTTTCATTTTATGATACTCATGGGTTGTTTCTTGCTTTCTATCTCTCTCTCTCTCCAGGTAATTGTGGAAAAAGCACCAAAAGCCAGAGTACCCGACCTAGACAAAAGGAAGTATCTCGTGCCTTCTGACCTCACAGGTAACAAAGTCTGATTCCTTTCTTCCCGATTTTCACTGAGAAGATCTCAGAAGTGCTTTTTACTCTATGATCAGCACCAACAAAATACCGAGGCAGGCTCACCTGTCAGCACCAACAAAATACCGAGGCAGGCTCAATGTCTTATCATTACCCCAGTTGACCTGACTGTCCTTGTTATTATTTCTGTACCTTACAGCCTGGATTACCAAATACAGAATTCTCGGAGATCTTCTGAGACGTCTCACTGAGTTAACCAACGTGCGTGTGTCACTGCTGACAGCTAGCCATGATGAAAATGACTGAATTGTGTATCATAGGCAGTAGCATCATCATCAGTCAATGATGACCTAGCTGCAGAGTTGCCAGAGGCTTTATCCTTGTTGCAGGAAGAGACGAGTTCTTGAAATAGTGCCATTGTTTTCCACCTCTGTGGTTGGAGTCATGGCTGCAAAGTTCCTTTTCTGAGTGGTCATGGCCATGTTGCGTGTGATTACATTTGTTTTCATTTGAGAACATGAATGAGTTAAAAGAAACAGCATTTCTTTCCCTCGCTGTGTATAATGGATTGTGGAATACCTGCTTGTGCAACATAGCTCAAGCAGATAGTAAGGAATTTATTTTCAGGGCTTTGTTTTCAGGAATGGTATGACCATTTACACTGAGGCTAAACTCTCTAAGGTTACTTTATAGGACTTAAAGGTTAAGATAGTTAGAGGTCTTCTCACCAATCCCAGCAGTAGAGCATTTCATACCATTGTAGGTAGAGTGTGGATTTAGAGGGTACACAGCTTGAGAAACTGCCATCTCCGAGTAGATTGGCTGGTTATGAGCAGTCTTGAAGTTACTGCTTGCTTTCCCACATTGTTCATGTTTCCCTACTTTTTACGTACAGCATGTGACTTCCACCACCAAAAGACAACAACCATGGTTAGGGTTAAAAAAACAATCGAAACCCCAAAATGGTTCTTTCTGCATCTAAGGCATTCTTCTCTGTTCCTCTTCAGTTGGCCAATTCTACTTCTTAATCCGAAAGCGGATCCACCTGAGGCCAGAGGATGCCCTGTTCTTCTTTGTCAATAATACCATCCCTCCCACCAGTGCTACCATGGGCCAGCTGTATGAGGTAAGCCTGGCCCATCTCTTTCTCCTTTTGTTGGAGTGTCCAGAAGAATGCATGTCCT